TCAAATATATCCTTACCTCGCTCGAGAGATATACATCCCCCAAACTTATGCTTTTCACTGAATTTTCTCGGGGTGCATCATAAGTTAAACTTATTCCATTTTATTCTTACCATTTCTTAGTTTGGATAAACTACACTCTTACAAGTTCACACGTCAACAAGTTGAGATTCTCCTAAATTTTTTTTTTTTTGCATTAACCCTTAAGACTAGACTAAATTACTTGTTTCTTATCAAATGTATAGTTTTGTTGACTAGATACCTGGGGCGTAGTCAATGTATTTAAGTATATTTTTTTCTTTTCATTTTCATGTTTTCTTTATTTTTTTGAGTATCTTTTCATTTGCTTTCTATATAACCCCTGTAGCGAGTTTTAGGTCCATGACTCCCAAATTAGATGACCATAGGGCACCAGGTTTTAAATCACTCTCATAGGCTTAATCACTCGAGTTACACAAGCTCGAAAAAATGCTTTCTATGTACTCAAAGATTAGTACAATGCCCCTTTTCTTTTAGACATCCAATTTCTAAAACTAACCTTAAACTTAAAACTTTTACCTCGTTTTCATCTCATTGGGTTTTAGACAATTCATACAAGAGTTTCATGCATGGAATCCCTACTCATCTCAATGTTTCCCTATAATAGTTCAATAATCTCCAAACTAACCTATAGTAGGATCATTGAATAATACACTAGATGTTACTTGGATTTAGTTACTGCATTCAACTATCCTCTACATAATGCATCATTAACTCAATATGCCAAACATGAGTAACGTAGATAGAGAACGTCAAGTTTTACATAAATAGATTTAGATTATCTAATACTATACTATTTTCATCACTCACAGCTGATACCTATTCTAATAATCACATCATAGCCGGCATAGTTATGAAATCCATACAAGCATACAAAACTGTGATTATAATCTCATACTAAAAGATAAAAGCTAGAAATGAACGAATTTTTTTTCACACAAACATACAAATATTAAAGTAAAATGATGAATCTTCCACCCCAAAATTTAATTGAAACTCCATGATATTTATGCAAATCACATGCAATTCACAACAAAATCCAACAGATCCTCTTTCCAACTAAAATTTTGCATTGTCCTCAATGAGTAAATATGAAAGCCCAATGAAGACA